CCACAGTTTCCCAGGGAGTGACATCACAGCGCACAGAACCCACTTTAAAAAACTGTCTTGGCGCGAGCGACATGGGCTGCTGGCAAAATGCTGGCCAACACCCTAGCCTGTTGCTGCTATTGTTTTAATTCTGGACATCACACCAAGCCATAAAGACTGGTCCTTAACCATTATGCAACATTCGAATGGAGCTGATGTGACTACGGTTTGGGATTTGACCTGAAAAGATGTGGAGCTTTTGCCAATCCCTACCCCTGGCTTCAGCTCTAGAGGAACACGAAAAGCAAGTTGAGGTTAACAAAATTTATTCCCGTGTAAACTTTCCCAAGACAGAGCTCAATCCATCACATGCATCTGACAGAAGCAAGCTATGACTCACAAGAAAACTTCTGCCGGAATAAACTCTGCTAATCTTTTTAAGATACCACCGTTCTTCCGTTTAATTTCGCTACAATAAATTAACGTGGTTACTCCTCTGGAATTACGAGCAGCTATAAATTTATGCTTTTTACTGTAACCCCATTCCCAAACTTTATTCATAAATACAAAAAAAAAAACAACAACAGCAGAACAAATACTCTCTCTTATTTTCGTTGATGTACTGGGATCTTCATGAAATTGACTGGGAATGGAATGTTACTTGCACGTAAACAGTTCCAAACACTGCCTGGATTTGTATATTTCATACAAACATGATGGGACTTTTACACAGTTATATGTTATACAAGCCGCAATGATAGCCAAGCTAAGGTCGTATCATGAAGGCAATGATTTGGTCAAGTTCTGAAACACAGCCAGATGCAAGGGCCCACAAACCAGTTCACCACAATTGCCATAGTGAGATTCCCTTATCTCTTTGCAACAGCAGGTATAAACTCCTGCTCCTGAAAACTTCTGAAATGTCCGCTCACCCCACTCGTTTAGGATGTGTACATGTATACACGCATAACTATGAAGCTGCCTTATACCAAATCAGACCCTTGGCCCATCAAAGTCAATATTGTCTACTCAGACTGGCAGCTGCTCTCCAGGGTTTCAGGCAGAGGGCTTTCACATCACCTAAAGCCTAATCCTTTTAGCTGGAGATGCCAGGGATTGAACCTGGGACCTCCTACCACTGAGACATGGCCTCCCTCCCCAAAGAATATGGCAACTCTGCAGCTGCAGGGGCTGTTAAGCAAGACAGCACTCCACAGTGCGGTCACAGGGGACAACACAGGTAAGTCCATGCCTCCTGGACAGCTCAGAGCCTGGAAGGAAAGGGGAGGGGGCTCATCTCCTATCATGCGAAGCCATGGATATGATACAAGAGCCAAGCTCAAATGATGCCGTCCTTAAAGGTGGTGATTAGAAAAGATGGAGAAATAGCAAAAGTGACATCATACTGTTGGCAAAAGCGGTGTAGTGTTTAGGACAGGGAAAAGAGCCTTTTTCAAGAGCTCCCCTTGAAGTCAAAACTCTCCCAGGTTGGGGAAGGGGCTGGTGATTGGGAGAAATGGATTTGGGCTCGTTACCAGTCAAAGTCTACAGTCCCCTGATGAAACAGGACAGTAGCGGGACAAGGGAAAGCTGAGGATGCTATCCCTGATGGTGGGACAGTGCAGCCGCAGCACACAGGACGAGCGCCCCAGGTTGCTATTTCCTTACAAATTCATTTTAGATCATTCCTCTGTATTCACCAACCCTACTCAAGTATACCCTATTCAGTATACATTCCAATCCCAAAGAAGGGCAATGCCAAGGAATGTTCAAACTATCGCACAATTGCACTCATATCACACGCTAGCAAGGACATGCTCAAGATCCTACAAGCTAGGCTTCAACAGTATGTGGATAGAGAACAACCAGAAGTACAAGCTGGGTTTCGAAGAGGTAGAGGAACCAGAGATCAAATTGCCAACATTCGCTGGATTATGGAGAAAGCAAGAGAGTACCAGAAAAACATCTACTTCTGCTTCATTGACTATGCTAAAGCCTTTGACTGTGTAGATCACAACAAACTATGGCAGGTCCTTAAAGAGATGGGAGTACCAGACCACCTCACATGTCTCTTGAGAAACCTGTATAAGGGTCAAGAAGCGACAGTTAGAACCGGATATGGAACAACTGATTGGTTTAGCATAGGAAAAGGAGTACGACAAGGATGTATATTGTCACCTTGCTTATTTAATTTATATGCAAAAGTACATGATGCAAAATGCTGGCCTGGATGAATCACAAGCGGGAATTAAGACTGCTGACGCCTGCTCCTTGGGAGGAAAGCGATGGCGAACCTAAACAGCATGATAAAAAGTAGAGACATCACCCTGCCAACAAAAGTCCGCATGGTCAAAGCAATGGTATTCCCAGTAGTCATGTATGGCTGCGAGAGTTGGACTATAAGGCAGGCCGAGCGCCGAAGAATAGATTCTTTTGAACTATGGTGCTGGAGAAGACTCTTGAGAGTCCCTTGGACTGCAAGGAGATCAAATCAGTCAATCCTAAAAGAAATCAACCCTGACTGTTCCCTGAAAGGCCAGATAATGAAACTGAAGCTCAAATACTTTGGCCACCAAATGAGAAGGGAGCACTCCCTGGAGAAGACCCTGATGCTGGGAAAGATTGAAGGTCAAAGAAGACGGGGATGGCAAAGGGTGAGATGGTTAGACAGTGTTATTGATGCAATGAACATGAAATTGAGCCAACTTCAGAGAATGGCGGAAGACAGGAAGGCCTGGCGTGATCTGTTCCATGGGGTCGCAAAGAGTCGGACTCGACTGTGCGACTGAACAACAACAATTCAAGCTGGGTCCACCCCATACTTTTGTGGTCAGCTTGTAGGTTTCCAGTCCTAGCCTATTTTCTCATGACCATCATCTCTAGCTTAACATTTTGCCCCTTGTGTATCTGCACTGCTCATACGTAAACTCCAGCTTCACAATCCTATTCGAACCTGCTTGCCTCTTACTCCAAAACTCCCTATTTTCCCGACAAGTCTCTTTTCCCTATCCTAAACGCTACTCTGCTTTCACCAACAGTCATGATGTGACTTTTGCTATTTCTCCACCTTTTCTAATCACTAACCTGTAAGGATAGCTTCATTTGCGCTTAGACAAATGCCACTAATACGTAAGTACACCTTGTTCTTGTCGCCCCTATGGTTAAACCAGACGTAGCCGCACTTCTGAATGCAACCACTGTTCACGCAAATAATGTGAGGTAGAGAAATAATTTCGGTTTGAAACTTTATGAGATTCATCACTGACTGAACAGAACAGAAAACCTTTATTGGCCTAACACAGATAAACCAGAACAAAGGCAAAATTTAAGGGATAGTACTAAAACGTCAACCAATATTCCCAATATCTCAAAATACAAAGCAATCCTAACATGGTTTACGAGATTTACAAAGTACTACCCTTGACTTCCATACATAAGTCAAAAATTCAGCGACAGATAGTGTTATTGCTGGACTCTTGTCTGCTAGAAAGAAATTTAAATCCCTATCCAGAAAATCTCTCTGCACAGGAAGAAGCGGGCGAATCAAAACATTGCGCATAATGAAATATTTAGGACAGCGAAAGAGAATATGGGCGATAGAATCAGGTTCCCCAAGATTACAGTTACAAAGTCTATCCTTGTACGGCACACCCCTGTATCTACCGGAGACCACTGCTGAGGGGGAAAGGTTGAACCTTGCAAGCATAAAAACCCTCCTAAAAACTGGAATTGCACTGACTGAAAATCTACTTGCAATGGCATTCTTAGGGAAGCCTTTCCAGAAAGTTTGGGCTCTGCATGTTAGCAGAGGTCATTTCGGGGGGGCACGCGGGGGAACACAGTTCCCCCGGGTGAGGTGCAGGGGGCGGGGCACACAATGAAGCCCCACCCCCTTCTTCCGGCCGCCCCCTTCTTCCGGCCGCCCCCTTCTTCCAGCCTCATTCTGTTGCAGAAGGAGGAAGAAGCAGGAGGGTAAGTTGGCGTCCTCCCCCTCTGCCTGGCCGAGGCCACTCCACGTGGCCTCTGCAAGGACTCCCAGCCCCATCCAGGAGCTTCCCCGAGGTAGCTGTGTTAGTCTGTTGCTGCAAAATAGTCCAAGAGTTCAAACAGCACCTTTAAGACTAACAAATAGCACCTTTAAGACTAACCTTTAAGACTAAGACTAACTGAGTGAAGGGTGTGGCCTTATGACACACGTCCGGTGATGTCAGGGGGTGTGGCATATGCTAATGAGTTATGCTAATGAGTTCCCCTAGCTCTTTTTCTACAAAACGACCCCTGCATGTTAGAGAACTCAGGTAATAAGAACAGAAGCAAAAAAAAGAGACAGATTCAGGTGGGGCCTGAAGCAGCAGAAGAAAGTTTGAGTCCAGGGGCACCTTGAAGACCAACCAAGTTCCATTCTGGGGATAAGCGTTCGTGTGCACGCACCTGCGTGCACACGAAAGCTTATCCCCAGAATGGAACTTGGTTGGTCTTCAGGGTGTCCCTGGACTCAAACTTTGTTCAGAAGCAAAGAGAAAGTAGCGAATCAGAGTCCAGCGCATAAACACCAACTTGTCTCAGTCTTGAAAGCTAGCTTGGGAGTAAAGCTTTCCTGTCTTCACAGTAAGACGTCACGGAGGACACTGTACTTCCAGCCCTATCATCCAGCCTTCAGAACCCTGCATTTCCATCTGTACAAGACCCAGCCTAGACTGATCAAAAATTTGCAACTGCTGCCCATCCAAGTGTTTTTGCACAAGGGAAGACAGCTCACGGTCTTATTTGTGGCATGACTGTAACTTATGCCATTTTAAAAGCGAAGGGAATAAAATAGCCAGCTAGCTAGGGTCAGAAAGAGGCATATTTAAGTCAGCTGGCACCCATGACATTGTGAACATGAAATATTTACATGTCTGAAGCCAGACTCCAGGCTTACTTAGAAAGTAAGACTCGGCACATACATTATATGAAACAACTCTCCTTTGTCAAGGCTTCCAGACACCAAAATTACTGTGATATGAAAACTGCATACATACCATCACCTGGGACATATCCATGAACTGCAGGCCAAAGTAATCCGTTTCAATAAGATCCAAGTGATACACAATCTGGTCAAACAAATCTTGCCCTTTTGCATGTTTCTGTAAGAAAAAAAATAGTTTTTTTTAAAGGAGGAATATAGTTGTGTGCAATACTCCCTCTAAGCCATGGAGTCCTGTGAGCAAAAATTCTACTTTGTCAGTGACTGGCATTAAAGTTGTGAGCGAGTGATTTGGCCACTGCATAAATTAGTTTGCTCTGGAGCCATCCTTCCTGAGCTAAGACAAAAATGTGTGAGCCAGAGGCTAGAAAACTGTGAGCTAGCTCACACTAACTCAGCTTAGAGGGAACACTGGTTGTGTGTACATGTATGGCGTAAACATGTCATACAGTCTAGATGTAAAAAGTGGAAGGACACACCCGCACGTTTCCTGACATCCACGCAATCATGTGGATGCGCTGAATTAGGCCAGTGTCTCTCCAGTCCTGTCTGATGGTACGTGGCACGCATGCACATCAGGGGACGTCACACACGACTCATCAAATAATACAACGTCCCACGTTAGCTATAAAATGAGAGCCCTGTGAAAGTGTCTGGGAATCTGTGTGCTCTTTGCTAATGGAAGATTTCACAGTTTTTAATTGCTCGAAATGCAAAGGGAAGGGGAAATAAATCTTCTATTGTTGTAAAGGACTGAGCAGTCATTTGGATGCATGCAGCAGGGAAGCTTTCCATGAAAAATCGGAACTGTTTGCAGTCTTGTTGGCACTTTCCCATCAGTGGCGGTTGCCCAGTGCCATTACGTCTCTCCGACAAGATAAAATAAAGGGATGCCCACCAACGTAAGGCCAGTCTGTACACCACTCAAGACGGCAACTAAGCCTCACGCCACCATAATATGGAGATAAGCTGGCACAGTGCCCTGCTGTCGCCAACACTGGTGCAAATTAGGTATGTGCACAGCTGAGGCACTGGAAGTACCAAAAACGGGCAAGACCAGGGGCATCCTGGAGGAGGAGTGAGACATAACCGGCGTCCTAAGCTCCTTCAGCCAATGCCCTGCCCTCCGCACCAGTACATGATGGCTACAAAATGCACAGGTATCACTAAGATCACGATGGGTCACCGTGTTAGTCTGTCTGTAACAGCAGAAAAGAGTAAGAGTCCTATAGCACCTTAAAGACAAACAAAATTTTGTTACAGGGCACCCGCCTCAGGACAGAGAAAGGGACTGTCCATTCACAAGAATCTGCCTTCTACTGAATCAGACCCTCCTTGGTCCCTCAAGGTCAGTCTTGTCTACTCAGACTGGCAGCTGTTCTCCAGGGTCTCAGGCAGAGAAGGTCTTTCACATCATCTTCAACCCAATCCTTTTAACAGGAGATGTCGGGGATTGAACCTGGGACCTTCTGCATGCAAAGCAGAAGCTCTACCGGTGAGCCACGGCCCCTCCAGCTGGAAGAGGATAATGCACCCCACACATGCAAGTCTTGAACGATGCACATTGCAAATGCTGCCTCCCCATGCTGTTCCTACAGTGCATCAATGGCTCAATAACTCCCTCAACTGTAGGGCGGCAACAGCGTCCCCACAGAGGGTAAGAATGGACACAGTAGGACACTGCAGATACACCGGCAGAGACAGAGAGAGAAACAAATAATAACCCAGAGACTACAACTGGTCCAGAATGCAACAGCCTAACTACTGTCAGGAGCTAGGCGCCAGGAACATATGTTGCCCAGGTTAGAACAGCTGCATTGACTGCCAGTCGGTTTCCAAGTTTAATTCAAGGTGCTGGTTGTGACCCTCAAAGCCCTTCACGACCTGGCTTTCTCCACGTCCCTGCGCACCAACTACAGTCATCAGGCAGCCATCGGCTGGCTCTCCCACCACTCAAGGTGGCCCGCCTGGCATCAACCAGAGCTCGGGGGCCTTTTACATCAGGGCTCCCTGGTGAGCCCCCCCCCCCCGGAGATCAAGGAGGAGGTGCTGCAGGGCCTGCCTGTTTGCCAGAATTCTGGACGGGGTCCAAGTTAGCACATATCTTTTTTTGGGGGGGGATTTGCGGCTGGCTTTTTGAGTTTTGGATTTACACTGAAAACGCTGTTAACTATTACTGTAAGCCGCCTTGAACCAAGAGAAAAGATAGGTGTAATGATTCATTGTTTTTGTGTGTGCGTGTCTCTTTAAAAGTTTGGTTGCATGACGGTGGTAGATAGACTAGAGTGGTTGAGAGAGGCAAGTGTGGTATGACTGGTGGTTGACAGAGAGGGGGAGGGGTTTTGGAAGTGAAAATGAGTGGATGAGTATGTATGTCAGTCAGGTTTTACAGTTACAGGTTTGACAGTTGATAGGTTCAGTTAGTTCTGTGTGTGAAAGGAGAGACAAGCAGTTCTGTGTTGAAGCAGTTATAAGCTGAAAGCTGAGTGTCTAGGAAACAGTAAAGTTTAAGTGAACAAGAGTTAAAGGAAAGTCTGAGTGACAGGCTAGAGTGAAACAGTAAACATATATGGCATTGAGATAAACAAGTGTTACAAAGTTACATGCAAAGATCCCTGACAGAGAGGGAGAAGATTGTGTGGGATACCAAAGCAATCGTTCAGTATTTACACATTACTAGTTACATTGTACTACCCTCTTATTTATGCTTTATTTCAATAAATCCTCTTTCATTCAAGTATATCAGCTCTGAAATAAATACTTCCTCAGGACCACATAGTTCCTCGTAAGCCTTGAACTCAGTCTACCAAAATAGTAAGAATAACAGTAAAGTATAAAAGGTCTGGAAATCCTTAAATTTCCTGGTGGCAGCCGTATATACCCAGATAAACAGAATAAAAAGAGAACTTTTAAAGTGAAACTAGTCCTCCCCAATAAGGAGGACATCACAGTAGGGCATAAATATTTAAATAAATTTTAATAAATAAATAAAGCAACACACTGTTGCTGGGTGAATGATGGCTGACCGCTTCAACAGGTGAAAGAATACCCCACACACACACGCACACAGAACTCCAAGGCCTGCAAGTTCATCAGGTGGACTCTGTCAGGATTCCAGCTTTGGGGTGGCTTCCCTTTGCCAGCTTCCAGGCACACAGGCCGGCAGCTCCTTACCAGGGGCTTTCTGAAACGCCAGCTGCTGCCCACTCTTTGCACGCACAGCTGTCCAGAGAGGGGCCTTGCCCAGCTGCTGAGGGCTTGGGCAGGTCTCAGAGCACATATAAAAGAAATCTGTCACGAGGCCATCATTTCTCCCAAGGTGCTCATTAATGTATTCTCTCTTAAGGAACACGCGGCATTGCCAGATACTTAAAAGTGTATTGATTGTTTTACAAATGTTGCCTTGTCTTGAATTCACTCCTGTGTCCCCAGGGCTGGGAGCGGAGGCAGGAGGCCAACTTGTTGGATATTGTAACACTGCACGCCAGAGGATCTTGGAGGGAAAAGATTAAGAGAACTCTCTCTGGGGTGTACTTGGCAGTTGCTGATCCCACCCCCTCATGGGCAGGGGTCATTTCCTGCAGAAGCACACAGGAGCGGAGCTCCGGTAGTAAGGAGCCCAGGGGGCGGGCACATGCAACAAGCCCCACCCCCTGCTCCCAGCAGCCCTCAGTCAGAGCAAGAAGCAGCCAGGTAAGTTGCAGAGCCCCCCCGGCCCAAAACAGTCCAGTGGCACCTTTAAGACCAAGTTTTATTCAGGTACAAGCTCTCCCTCCTCTGCGAGGACAGATCTGCACGTTCCCAATAGCTAGCAATCCAAAACAGCCCAGTGGAGCCTGAGCGGTGGGTGTTGCAGAGGTGCCCCCCCAGTCCGCCTTCAGGTACAAGCTCTCCCTCCTCTGTGAGGGCAGATCTGTGCAAACCCCCCCCCAATAGCTAGCAATCCAAAACAGTCCAGTGGAGCCTGAGTGGTGGGTGTTGCCTTCTGACACACTTCCGGTGATGTCAGGGGGTGTGGCATATGCAAATAAGTTATGCTAATGAATTATGGTAATGAGCTCCTGCACCTCTTTTTCTACGAAATGACCCCCGCTCATGGGTCAGATGATGAGCCTCTTCGGCCCTGGCTTGCCTTCTGCTTCATCTTATATACAGGACCCCTCTTCTTCTTCTCTCTCTTACCTGGGCTGGGAGAGCCAGGTTGGTGTAGTGGTCAAGTGCACAGACTCTAATCTGGGGGAACCGGGTTTGATTCCCCACGCCTCCAAATGCAGCTGCTGGTGTGACCTTGGGTCAGCCACAAGAAGCCCAAACGCCTTTCCCTCAGGGTCTTTTAAGCACCTCCTGGCAAGGGCAAGGGCAGAACCCGGCCCACACATACACGGTACTAGGCTGCTGGCTGAATACCCAGGTGCCACCTGCATCGCATGAGTAATACAGGAAAAGCCGGTGTGTGTGTGTGTGTGTGTGTGACAAATGTCCTTTGCTGTAATGGAGGCAGAGTCCTCAACCGGATGGCCCAAGCTAAGCCAGTCTTGTCAGATTTCAGCTGCTAAGCTCGGTGAGACCATTTCAGACCAATAAAAATCTATTTATTTAGGAGCTACATTCTAGATAGGGATAGAATAGTATCCTAGCCTAACTTACTAAGGATGGACATGGATGGTAAGAGGCCCATCTGTGTCTTGGTGCCAAGATGGAGACAGCGCACTCTTTACGCGTGCAAGAAGAGTGTTCCGGGAGAGGACGAATGGAAGGAAGGAGAGGCAATTTCCCTGACAGTAGCAATCTACATTTCAAAGGGGACAGTGGCAGAAGAGTAAACACAGGAAGAGGCTTGGTCTACCTATCTAGAAGAAGAAGAAGAAGAAGAGATTGGCTTTTTGGAGTCACAGAGCGGCTTACAAACTCCTCTCCCCCTCCCCACAACAGACACCCTATGAGGTAGGCGGGGCTGAGTGAGCTCTTGACAGAAACTGCTCTTTTTCAAGGACAGCTCTTGTCAGAACTGTGGCTTGCCCAAGGTCATCCAGCCAGGTGCCAGTGGAGGAGTGGGGAATCAAACCTGGTTCTCCCAGATCAGAGTCCGCGCACTTAACCACCACACCAAACTGGCTATTTAGCCTATCTAACTCTCTTGCCACATAGTCTGGAGGCTGA